TTTTTTTTTTTTTTTTTTTTTTAAACCAGCCGTCAGTGCTAGTGTTGCTGGTATAAAATCCTGAAAATCCTGAAAACTGAAATGAGTGAATTTTTCATGAAAACACACTTTTGCCTTGCTGTTTTATAGGTTCTCCACTCTATGAATTGGTGGCAAGTTTGGTTAAAATGACCTTTGGGTTTTGTTATAAATGGCCTGACAAGTGGGGTCTGAAAATTGAGGCCTCCGTTAACCGTCTCTCGCGACTAGTGCTGCCAAGGGCAAGCCTGACTCTTTTTCTCACTCTATCTTCCGTACTCTCATGCTTGCCCGTAATAAGCAAACCCATAACATCTCTCATGCCCCCCAGAATCGAAGGGGCCTTGTGTTGTTAGAGAAAAGAAAAAGGACTGTCATCTCTTCTTTGCCATGGCTTCCAGTTCATTCAGGTAGGAGACAACATAACATCTAAAGCTTGAAAGCTCTCTGAGGGAAGAGAGAGAGAGAGAGAGAGAGAGAGAGAGAGAGAGAGAGAGAGAGAGAGAACACAGCAACCAATTTGGTGCTTGATACCTCAGAGCAGGGACATGGATAACGGAGAATCTAGATGCCATACAATTCTTCAAGAGCAAATGGACTTTACAAGCAGACTGCCTAATGCCACATTGGGCCTCGCTTCACTGCACAACGTCCTCACATCCTCGATAGTCCTAACGCAAGGAGCGGGTCTTGAGTGATCGTCTCACGCGAGACCCCGATTCCGAAGTTGGGAACGCGTCGGGCCCGAACCGACGGGCCCACCGGGCAGGCCGAATCACGACGGGTGCAAAGTGGGGCCAACGCGTGGCACCCCGCATACGTGCAGACGCAGATCAACGCGCTGCAGATAGGGGGAGCGGGAGGAGGTACAGGAGGAGGAGGAGAGGCAGGAGAAAGAGCGGGAGGAGGAGCGGGAGAAAGGAGTGGAAGGAGGTACAGGGCGAAGTGCAGGAGAAGAAGCCGGAGGAGGAGGAGGAGAAGAAGCGGGAGGAGCAGCAGGAGGGGGAGCAGGAGGAGGAGCGGGAGGAGCTGGAGCGGGAGGAGGACGAAGTTGTGGTGGAGCAGTGGGAGGTCAGTCTCTCTCTCTCTCTCTCTGTGCCTAGCCACGTGGCAGGGCTTTTTTCCTCTTTTTCGTAGGAGATGGGTATGGCAGCATATTTGTCACTTTGTTTGGTGGAGGAGCAGGAGGAGGGAGAGAAGGAGCGGGAGAAGGAGTGGGAGAAGGAGTGGGAGAAGGAGCAGAAGGAGGAGGAGCAGGAGGAGACAGTTGTTTCGTGCGGCATGCATAAGCGGTTACCAAAAATAAAACAGGGCAAAAGAAAAAAAAGTTAAAAAAAACAGAAAAATACTCAAAACATTAAAAAAAAAAGAAATGAAAAAAAAAAGCACTTTTCAGCCCTGGTTAACCCCCTCAACCCTGAAAAGTGCATTGGAGATCAATTTTTGAGTTTTTTTCTGTTTTTTTTTTCTTTTGCCCTGTTTTATTTTTGGTCAAGGTCTGTGTGTGCCAAGTTTGGTGTTTGGACACACACACACACACACACACGACGGAGCACAGGAAATGCGCGCGCAAGAGAGAGAGAGAGAGAGAGAGAGAGAGAGAGAGAGAGAGAGAGAGAGAGAGAGAGAG